GACCACCATGCCTTGCCCTAGAGGCGTGACGACAGCACTGGCAAGCCTCGACCAGATCGACGGGGGGAAATTGGCTTTAGGATAGCTTTACATACTTTCATCTTACATAACATACATAATAACAGTTCACATTTTGCAGTGTATGGCTTAGACCCTGCGCAGTACAGTACAGTCCCTGAACGACCCACCCCAATAAGTCTGTTGTTGAGGCCCGTACACGCTTGTCGACCAAGTGTACGAAACCCGCATCGCCCTCCAAACCAGTACCAGCCAAGTCCTCGGTACAGATCTCGGGCCACAGATCCGTGCGAAGTTGCAACGCAGACGACCTCCGTTGCTGAACCTCGATCAAGTGTTCCAAGTGTGCATCCCCTGTCTACGGGTGTGTGTGTGTGGTGGCTTGTTGCTGGATTTATCCACGGCGCGTCGCTCCATACTCCTTGCATGTCCTCGAAGTCACCCTCGACTCCACCCGCGGCGAACTCAACCCGACTTCCCAGCTACCCCGGCTTTCCCCGGGTTCCCTGAGTTGCCTGTCCGAACACCCCGAACATCCCCTTGTGTGCTCCGTCGGTGATCTTTGCCCCATTGACGTCAAGCCTCCGAAACAACCCTCGATATCTTATTATTGCGAGCCATAACATCATCACACATATACCGGACATTAGTCGAAATATACTGGAACCATGTAGGGTATGGACGAAATATATCGAATGTTCAACGAACATGACGCACAAGGCGTGAATCAGTTGTACGTCGGACGAAGTACATGGCGAGAATCAGTTGCGCGTCGGACGAAATATACCGGAAATAACCTGAACTTAAACGAAAAATGGTGTAGTTGGAGTAGCATATTACTTCATGAAGTATTATTTATTCCGTTTTTCAGGCCGAATAAGTATCGCAGAAATTTGCGATCAAAATGGTATCATGACGTCATTTCGATACAATTCAAATGATCTCGATATTTATCAAAATATTGAGAAATATCAAGTTGAGCGCGTTTAACGTCAAACTATTGTCGGTGAGTTTGTTGATGATGGAAATAGCTGGTCTAAAACAACGGCGGTCGTGCCAAGGCTGGGGCTGGTAGCACGCCAGCCTTGGCTCCTTCCACAGCCACCTTTTGGCCTAGGGTGCGTTTGAGCCGGCATATACCACCGTCGAGGGTATACCACACAAACAGTTTGCATCCCGGTGTCTTTTTACATTCAGCGCAGCAGGATTCAGCAGTCACCTGATTGGTCGAAGCGAAGTCGCCGCTAACATAGTGCGTGTTGTCTTCCACGATGCCACACGTGGTTAGCTCAATGGTCGGGTTGAGGGCTTGGGTGGAGTTAGATGGCGGGGGAAGAGTCAAGCCGGGGATGCCAGGAGCCACAGCCTTGAAGATGTTCAAGCGGCCGTAGCCAAAGAGGTTGTTGGGATATTTCGTGTTGGGAATGCCACCGCAGGTCTTGTTGGGCGGAGTTAACGTGTCCGTGTCCAGATTCTCGGTCAGGGCCTTGTATACTTGTCGTACGAGGCGCCTTTGTTGGCAGACAAGTACTAGACGATGGCTCCAGCAACATGAGGCGCGGCGTAGCTCGTGCCATATCTCGTCGAAAAAACCATCGTCACTGAAGCTTGCTGCGAAACGGATTCGGACACCAGAAGCAGAAATGTCGGGTTTGCTGCGGAAGGTCCCAAACTTGAATCAATCTCCAAAAAATCCCTGGAGTTAGTGGAGCCGACAGCAATCACTTGAGGGGACGCAGCAGGATAACTTGAATACGCACAACTTTCACGGCCGTTGTTGCCATTCGCAAACACGGGATTAATTCCCGCTTCTCTCCACATTGTAATCATAACTTCCAACCAAAACTCCCTGCGGTGCTTGCCAAAGTTGATCACATGAGGGGCCTTGCTGGAGTCGCAGTTGTTAACATCTTTGTCGTGGGGACAAAGTAGGAATTGAGCGCATTCGACCACCATACGTTGATTGCACGTGCCCTTGCACCCTTTGCACGCAATCCACTTGGCCTTGGGGGCGACACCAATACCTTGCGTTCTCACCATGGTGGCCATGACGTGAGTGCCGTGGCCCATCGGGTCGGTGGGCAGCTGGTTCGTCTTGTTGTACAAGTCGAACCAACCGTATTCCTGTCGCCAGTTCGACTCCAACGACTCATGGGTATGGCGAACACCGGTGTCGATGTTGGCCACGACAATGCCTTCGCCCTTGATGTTATTGGCCCACAGCGCCGGCGCTTGGATTTTCTTGATCCCCCATTCGATGACATCATATACAGGACTGGCTGGTTTGTCATCGCTTTTGGTTTCACTGAGTTCCATCACAACTGGCTCGTAAATGGATTTCACTTCCGGCAACGCCGCGATCTTCTGGACAAGGTTGGTGGGGGCGTTGTCGATGTACAAGGAACAGTCGATCCATGTCGAGACCACTTCCACAGCCGTTGATTCAACTTGGTTGGCCAGGAGCGACTTGACCGACGCCTGAGACGTGGTGGTGTGCTCCTTCAACGAATTAACCAGCGACTCGATGGTTTCGGTGCGAGACGCGCCGCCCTTGAGTCGGCGGCGGTGGGTGGCGAGGGCCTCGTGACAGTGAAATTTCACCACGACGTTCGACTGCTTGGCGACTTCCAAGTTGCGATGTACTTGGACCGAGATCTTGCCCGTGACGGCAGTGACGGCGAGGGCGGCGAGGGCCATAAATTTAAACTGAACCATGATGTTGTTGGTGAATGGAAATTACAAAATGAGACCAACGGTGGGTGTAGCACGTGACTTGCCTTACGTAACACGCTGGGAAGTATGTATCAATCAGGTCAGCTGGTGAGGGCATAATATGGCCGTCCATCGGGTCTGATTAATGCTGAAAATGTACTATTAATACGTAGTACGTCAAGAAACCTACGTCGTGGGTATCGTAATCAATTGTCAACATGGGTATTGGATATACATCTACATGAAGGATCTGGCGAGGGCATAATATGCCCTTCCTGATAATGTATTAATACCTCAAGAAACAAGCTATTCCCTCGAAACAACACCGAAGGTGTTGCTACGTTATCATTTTGGCCACCACCCTTGTTGAGCATCCTCACATAATGTTACAGTATCACATCAATACTCCGAATAGTAATCCGTACGCGTGTCGAGAAAGCAACTACGGGGTTTCCACACCGCGTGTTTCGCGAGCACAATGGGAAGATCAGTTTGGCTATACAAGTAAAGTGATTACAGCGGTGTGAGTTGTCGTCTTATTCACAGTCAACGACTAATCGTATTACGAGGATAGCTACAGGAGAAATGATATAGGAAGCTGTATCATTTCTCTAAATTTCTGGAGCCGGCAGCAAAATGGCCCTTATGTGGCGGCAGTGTAACGTTAGGGAAGCAAAGCTAAAAAGTACTCCGGAGCAGTATTTTGGAGGGGGGTGCCCTACAAATATGTAATAGTAAAAATATCGACTGCAATGTATTGACTTGAATAAAGTATACGGTTATTAAACTATGACTTCAATGTATTGAATTAAAATATCGACTTCAATGCATTGACTTAAACAAAGTATACTGTTTTTGCCCCTATACTCTAACGTTTCGTCCACTCAACCATTCGTCCTACTTAACTGCAAAATGGTGTAGTACTTGCATTGACTGTAGATACAGCGATGAATCTACCGGTATGGATGGACTTCGGTGAGGCCAATTGGTCGTTTAATGCCATGTAATGTATTTGAGTCATGCGTCGTAGGAAATGCAAGGAAGGTTCGTGTAACCGTGCCCATCATGCGGTTACTAACCGGATGATTAGTCGACACCTCTTCAGTCCAAGGTGTCTCTTCGCACACCAACAAGTTCTCTTGCGCAACCAAGGTGTTCCCCCGACGATACATCAATGGTTGGTTGCGCGTAGCTTAGTGATAGCGTAGTAGTCTTAACGCTATCAATTCATTCTTGATTCTACCATCTCCTGCGGCTTCCTCTGCGCACGCTCACACCTGGTAGCACTCCACGTTCGTTCAGTCGACCTCCACCAACACCGCAGCCCACCAGGCGGCCCTCGCCCTTTTGCGTCCCGGTTTTGGCGACAACAATACCGCGCTACTCCTTTTCCGGATAACCAAACTCGCCTTGTGGAAGGCATCGGTAGCACGATTAAATCTCTAGGTCGCCGAAGCTACGGCCACCCAGCAGGCATTGGAGGAACAAGTCACCCAAATGTCTTCGCACGGGAGAAACCGTGAAGATTCTCTTCGGGTCCCTCGCGAGAAAATCGCGACCATAGAAGAAGAAGCCACCACCATGTCGTCCCATGGTTGCACCCTCTAAAATTCTCTGCGAATCGTTCACGATGAGATCGCGCGCCTCACACGCGCTTCGGAGTCGGAAACGCCATCGACTTCTTGCCTGAAGTCGATCAAGCTGGCTGTTGCCAAATTCGGTGGAGCAGAGTCGGACAAACTCCTCCGCTGGCTTTTACAAGTCAGCACTGCAGCTGACGCTCAGCGTATCTCCGACGACGCCACCCGAGTAGCTTTCGCGATGTCGTATTTGAAGAGTCGTGCGGAAGATTGGGCGTTCTCGAAACGCTTGACGGACCGCCACTGCTTTCCATCTTTCGCGGTCTTTGAGACCGAACTCAAGGCAATATACCTGCCACCCAACAGCGACTTTCGTTATCGCTCGCAATACTACTCTGTTCTGGCTGAAGGCCCATTTGACTTTGGATTGGCGGAATTTTTCTAACTTTTCGTTTTACTGCACTCTAATTGGCTTATCAAACGGCGCGGATTCTCGTCTTTGATTGGTTTATTTCAGCGCTTTGACATCTTTTGCTCATACGTTATGATCATTAAAAATGCTTGGATTCGCCGAGCGCACACATATTCACCCGCACACCTTTCACTTTTCAATTCTACGCTTAATGTTCAATACACTCCTGCTTTAACACTGCCTACTCATGCCATCACCGCAAGCAGCACGTTCTAACAACGCACCCAGCGGCAGCCACGACAGGCGGAAGCTAGACAACGACGAGCGGCGCGCAATCTACGAAGTTTTGTTCAGCCTCAGTGTCCGCGGAGACCTTCCTCACGGCGCATACAGGAAGGTCGGACAAATATACAACTGCTATTGGAAGACGGCTGCGCGCATCTGGCAACGAGGTGTGGCCTCACTTCGTGGCGGCAGCGCGGTGGCCATCGTCGACTCCAAACTTAAAGATAAAAACCTGTCTAAACCTATATTTGCATTGAAATTTATTCATTTATGGAAGTATTAATTTTGATAATTGTACTATTCTAGGTAATTTCAACCGAAAA